TCTCTCTCTCTCTCTCTCCTCTCTCTCTCTCTCTCCTCTTTTCAGCCTCGCCCCGGACGCAGCGTCTTCCTGCAGAGCTGACAGGCAGGGGCGCTCTCGGTTCCTGAGACCAGGCCTTGTCGGAACCGACGCCCCACTGAGAGGGACGACCGTTGGCCAACTTTGTTCGGCCAGCAATCGACCAATGTTCCCAGCCCGGCCCCGGCTCGCGCTGGTCGGTCAGGCGATCCGTCCGATCGCAGCCGACGGAAATGGCAGCCAGCGTGTAAAGCAGACTTTGTGAAACTCATGCTCGGATATATTTGATAGACTGCCAAGTTATGTCAGTTTCAAAGTGGAGGCTCGTGTCTATTTGAAAGCTGGACCTTATCTCCTGCTGCCACATTCATCTAGAGCACTGCTCAGACAAAGGGTTGGGCTTTGCAGTTTGCAGTTACGACGTTAGGCCATTTCAATATAAACTCGAGTGAGAACAGAAAAGAATTGGTATTTGGAGAAAGCTTATTTAATTTTGCACGTTGAGAACGGGAACTAGTTAAAAGTTTTGAAGCCATTGGCCATTGGAAGAGTCACCGCTTGGTATAGTTGAACGTGTATGATTCCAACCTTCAGCGAGCCTGAGAGCTATCTATAAGGGAGACGAAAGCTTGGCTCGACATGATATTGGGCCGTGCAATGATTACAATGGCATTGAGCTGACCTCAACCACGACCATATGTTTTTTTTTATAATTCCTTTGTCACGCTGCAATGAATAAGTAACACGCGTTTTCTTGTCTGACTAAAGCTGTTATAAAAAGTGGACATATCCTTAGCTGGTGCTCAGCTTTGGATCCTGAATCATGGAATGCAATCTGTAAGTTTCTAGTCTTTTCATCTAATCGTCAATAAGAAAATCTTAGAACAATGACACTTGATACAAATAGATCAAATAATATACATTTGACAATAGATATCTGCAAGAATGCAAAAAGCAATAATTTAGCGGAAAACAAGCGTTGGTTTTTAATTATTCAGGGTACCAGTCGATCACACGCCTCTCTCCCTACCATCACACCCCACCAATCTAATAGTTTTCGGCGCGGCTCCATCAGCTGCACCCGGCTTCCCCAGACAATCCATCAGCTCGCTGGCCCTCCCTCCCCGCCCCACCCCTCTCCCCTGCATCCCTCTGCGGTCCACAGTCCCCCCCCCGCCCCCAAGGTCGGGCTGCAGCCGGCGGCGCTGCGCCGGTGACCAGTCGGTGACAATGCGTGCTCCCCTGGGCTGCGGCAGCTCGGGCGCCGCTCTCGCAGCCCGGCTCCGAGCGCCCACCTCCCGCCGGCCGGCCGACGATCAATATGGTACCAGAGTGTCGGCGACAGCCCGCTCCGGGCCGCTCCGCCAGCTTCGGAAGTTTTCCAGACAGGTCCGACAGCTGGCCCGGCTGCGGCTTCCGGCAGCTGCAGCTGCCAACTGCCCGACGCCCTTACGAAACTCGGACGCAAAGCGATGGGAGGTTCAGCGACTCCGATGCCCTGAAACGATTTAGATGAAACGCGGGATGAAATAAACGGGACAGCCTTCCATTATATGAGGAGCGAAGACTGATGGACATAAGTTGGAACTTGGAAGTGTTTGTTGTCGTTTTGTTGCAATGCAGTTTTTATTGAAAGGAAGCTATCTCATGAAACTAAGTCTAAAAGAGCTGGATGCACGCCTGTCATGTGGTTTGGCGCAGGCATATGCCTCCAGACAGCTAAATCTATGACTAAGTTGGATCCGAGACCAAAGTCTGTGAGATCAGATAGTATCATACCTATCCAGTATCCAAGTTTCATTTTCATGCACGTGCCTGATATTCACATACATGAGACCACTTCCAATCATCAGATCCTTTGAAGTTCTTTGATACATTTGTCAGTTCACTCCTTGGATTCAAAGCAATGCGTGGCGACCTTTTACAGATCAAAATATCACAGCAGGCGCCATGTGCATCTTCCTTGTGCATATTGTGCGTCTTCCTTTTCATGCAATTGTCAGATAAGAAGGTATCAACTTTTTGTAATTCATTTAAAACGGTCATGCCATATAGGTGAGATGTTATCTGCCAATCGCGAGCCCCAGAAATAGTTTCAAGCATTGTTTACCGCTGGCTACGAGTACTCTCTAGCTCTTCTCAGTATATTGTTTGGAAAGTAATGATTATAATAATAATGAAAAAATACCTGCGATACTTGCAGTGTTTGAGGGCCGGCGCCGCTGACAGCCGGGCCACCCTTTGGCAGATACAAAGCGGCTGGCACGGGTCGCCCACGACCGTTGCTGAGTGCTGACCCGGCCACATCAGGTCCCGGCGGCCCTTTGTCCGCCCCCTCCCTTACACGAGTGATCCGGGACGGAGGTCTGAGCACAGCGAGAGGACAGAGAACTGAGGGCAGAGGGGGGAGGAGACTGGGTGGTATCACATTCGCTGTGAGCACGAGTCAGAGCGCGGTGAGACATCCCGGGGGAGGCGGGCGAAAAGGCTCGCGCCGGCTCGTTTCACGCAGTGTCTCCCTGAGTAAGGCGGCGAGGTCTGATGTTTGATGGTGGGAGGCGCTCCCCATCTCCCCCGAATCCCCGGGCTCGCCTGCTCGCCTGTGATGCTCCTTTCTCTGTCGCTGGCGGGGTGCGGGCAGGCGATGAAAGAAAAGGAAATGAATGCGATGGGGTAAAAAACGTGGCGATGATGGCGAGAAGACTAGCGAAAGCGGCACCGCTCGCATAGTAGAGACACGCAGTAACGGGGACGAAACACACACGAAAAATGTTGTCAGGTCCGCGATTGTGCGAACTGCGAAATAAATTTTCCTTTAGCATGATTTGTTGGAGAATAAACACAAGCAATGTTAGCGAGCATTAAAGTTGCAATATTATCAGAAGCTAATTTTACTGTAGCATGTGGTAAGACATGGGGGATATGGCTGCATTTTTTAGGATTGTGTAAATGGTGCGAGCATAGCCTTTTACTTATCAGGCTGGGGTAGAGTAGCCTGAGGCAAGACGCCCCAGATAATTTATTCCGTTTAATAACTGTTGTCCCACATCACCTGAAAGTTCAAATTTGTGCTCCGTCCGTTCTATGGACATTTTACTTTAACCCTATTAGTGGCAGGCTCCTGGCTACCCCTATTGGTGGCGGGGGGGGGGGGCTGTTTACGACCCCCCCCCTGATATCTCGAGATCTAACGGGCCGATTTTCAAAATTCAAACGGCATTCGATTTCGCTCAACGTGATCTACATTTCTAAAAAATAGAAATTTAAAAAATGTCAAAAGGGGGGTAGAGGGGGGGGGGGGTAAAAACGGGCAAATTGCAGATACATTTTAGACTGTTTATCACGGCCAGGTTTCTGAACCAATCTTAACGCAACTTTTGCCGATCGATAGAGAATGAACCAGGAATTCACATGGATCCTAAAAATATGCATTTTCAAAAATCATAGGCGGATACAGATCATTGAGATTGGGGGTACACAAAAAGTATAGTAAATAAGGTTTTTGTTGGTACTGTTTCTAAAAAGGGTGGCAATGGTATTGTTATATTACAATTTTCTTATGAGAGAACGACTACAGTTGTATTGGTCATGCATAGGCGGTGTCAGGGCACCTATGTTGGGAGGTAAAACATACCCCCCCCCCTTTTTGGACGCCTGGATCCGCCTATTATAGCAAAAACGTGTCAAAAGAGGATGCACAATAACTTTGTATATGTTATCATATGATACCTTTCATTCACTGTTCGTAAAACTGGTGCATACAGTTATACTACATCAGCATCGTGATCTTCGCCCAAATGACTCGCTTCACGAATAGTAGGACCCCTAATTCCCAGTACTCTGGAGCCGCCCCTGGTAAAGTTATGAACTTGAAATTTTCAGGGAATGTGCCCAATTTAGTTTTAGGAAAAGTCAGAAAATTTCAGCATCGTAGCTTCAGCGGTTTCGGAGATATTCCCGAAAAACCTGAGGGGTGGATGAAAACAACCCCCCCCTGCCACTAATAGGGTTAAAGTTCAACCCTCAAATTCATTCACTTGTGATCGGACTCTCAACTAGGAAGTGATTTGTGAAGCAGAAGGGGCATTTTGCCCCGCCACCAGGACAAAACACCCCACTGCCTGGGGCAAGAAGCCCCATACTCAAGATTAGAAATTGAGCATGGTTATTGCCTAAATCTTATATGAGAGGTCCGTTAGACCACTGCAGAAGCAGTTGCTGAAGTTAGCACGAAGCACCTTCCATCCCATCCGGCCTTCAGCTGTGACACTATTGTATGGTCAGGTTTTTCACCTGCCTTATAAAGCCAAATGATAAATTGTTGCAATACAAATATTAACAAAATACTTCACTTGCCATCTAGTTGTTGATAGAAATAGGCATGTATAAATGCATAGAATCTTACTGTTCGCCAGCTGCCGAACATTAGAAAGTGGGTGGCTCAAACAACACATGAGGTAAAACGCCCCATGGGGCTTTTTTCCCGCGACCTACTGGGGCGTTTTACCCCATCACATAGTTCGGTCAGGGAAAAACGCTGTGCGCTCCAGCAAGATACAATTGAGCATGAACCAGCCCGGCATTAGAAGCGTCAGATAATAGCTGTTCACAATGCAAAAAAACTATAACCCTGATGTGACCCATAAAAAACGCTATGATGCATAATCTGACAAGTGACAACAAAACGTAAAAAAAAATTCCAAAAACACATTTTCGGCTGCTGGGTATCACAGTTCCTTTCAAGTCTACTCATATAATAATCATATGTGCACGTTTTATAAAAGAGAGGATGCTTCCTCAGAATCGTGCCAGTTCCGAGAAACATCGGTGAGGTGTTTTACCTCGGCGGGACGACTTGACCCGGTCTACTCTATATTTATGTTATGCCTAACGTCTTTTCTCCTTTTTGGGTTATACAGTGATTTGTCTGAAAACGCATCTATTTGTAACCACCATCTGACATTGTTTTCCGTTTCTTTCAGAACATGAAGAGCCAAATCATGACCACGAATGTCTGGGTTGAACAGGTAAGGAACTGGACCGCTGCCGTCTCCTGAGGTTGTATCACGAATTGCATGACTTTTCGTCACCTAACGTCTATGCCATCGCGTTATATGTAAGCTCATTGGTAACAAAACATACGAGTACATACACGTTAGCGGTATACGCTAACTGACCAAAACACTAAGAGTATGAGGCCAACATTATGTGTACTGTGTAGTCGCAGCACACGACTTTTGCTGTGATTCGTCAAAATTCACGAACTGGCACCTTGATGTGGAAGTATTTCAAACACGAACGCAGCGCAATCGGATCATGAGTTACTGAGCTGTAATTGAAGTTATAAGTTACTCACCCATGTTGGTCAGGCAGTCAGGTGCACGACTCGGGCGCTAAGTCGCGAGCCGTCGGCTGACCGCTGCGGGTGGCGATGAGGCGGCGGCGCGGCGGCGGCGGTGAGGTCGGATCGATGTGTGTTTGGCGGCTCCCCGGCAGACCCGGCGCCGTCCGTCTCCGCACGCCGGTCACGTCTGCGTCTGAGACCGTCTGCCGACGTTAGGCGCTGACACCACGTGTCGATCCGGACCGGGTGATAGCCGGTGACCCTGCTCCTCCCCCTCCCAGTCATCGGGAATGAAACCATGCGCGCGATCGAACGGAGAGAGGGGGCTGATTCGGTGACGTGCCTGGGTGGGCGGGGAGTTTCTTCGAGAGCAGCTGGTGCAACCTGTAATCTACTTGTAACTTCAAAAAAAAAAAAATAGGTTCACATCAACTTCTTACTGCCCAAGAATGAATTACAACATAAAAAGTTCCAAAGCTGCTGTATGGAGACACGCACTTCTGAAGGAAGTGTACATAAGGTCTGCACGCAAACCATATTTGTTCGTTGCAGATCTAATTCCTAAGAACCAATTTATATCCGCCCAATTGAATTAAACTGCCTCAGTTGGACAACAAAAATAGCAATGTATCTTGAACATTGACAGCTAAGGAAAATATACTGTGACATCTGAAAAAGATACGTTGTCGCTATTTCCGATTTGGCAACACATGCCAATTGAGGTTTACTAATATTTGTACTCAGAGTCTATTATGCTTTGCACCAGGGTGTTGACTCATCTCGACGACATGATGCAAACTGACTGTTAAAGCTGGATGCGGATGCACTGAGCTGACCATACAAGAGCCCCTTGTCGTATCCTAAAGTTTTCATCAATCACCGCGAGATCGAATGAAATCAAAAATCCAACCCACATCTGTAGTGAGATCGCAGAACGCACCTATCCAAGTTTGGGATTCATGGAGACGTTGATATCAGGTGCATACCACCATTGACCCCCTCCCCGTCCATCCACAGGAATGGAACGACTACAAGCTGGCCTGGGACCCGTCAGAGTATGGCGGGGTTCAGACGCTACACGTCCCTTCAGAACACATCTGGCTTCCCGACATCGTCCTATATAATAAGTGAGCTCGCCCGTGCAGTGGTGTGACATCTCGCAAATGCCGCTGTCCGCTGTTTGTCTTCAGTCACGGTCTGACAAAAGGTCATTTCATTTCGCAGTGACTTCTCTCTGCACAGCGTGCGGCCATTCTGTTAATAATTCACGAGGCTTGAAGTGCTACCAGAATAGTAAAATTGCAATGCATAAAGTGACGTCGAATTTTTGCACTACACTTCTGCCTCCCTAGCATCAGAAACCAATATCTCGTCACAACAGCAATCGTAAGTGATGTCTAGGGTGTCTGTCAACCCCATCTGGAAATATTGGAGGCGCCCGGCGTGACAAGAGGATGAGAGTGATTTATGAATATTTGCTAGAACAGCCTCGAGCTCAGCCGCTGGAATATTTAACGGGCACTGAGAACAGCTCCGACTACAGCTCCGTGGTATAAATTGAGATGTTGGTGGTATGTACAATACCAAGACGAATTACAAAAGGTATTGGGAATGAGATCCTCGTTATTTCGATGTCTTATTTCTTATCCACTTTGCAACAATAGCACCTCTACACACAGAAAAATATTGACACCGTTAGCGGTGTAATTGCACAGTACATATCTGAGCACTTGAGGAAAGTTAATTTAGTCCCTTCCCCGCTTAAATTACTCGCGCTTCCAAATGAGCACCAGGAAGAAGGTAATAGAACACTGTTAGGAGGGTTGGGTGTTTTACTACATGTAGCAAAACACCCAACCCTCCTAACAGTGTTCTATTACCTTCTTCCTGGTGTACATTTGGAAGCGCGAGTAATTTAAGCGGGGAAGGGACTAATTTAACTTTCCTCAAGTGCTCAGATATGTACTGTGCAATTACACCGCTAACGGTGTTAATATTTTTCTGTGTGTATATTAGGTGTATTATTTCGAATGTTTTGAATAGATGTAATGACAGCCCAATGACCATATTATGTAAACATAGCAATGCAAAGCCTACGCAATACAAAATACCTACCCAATTTTGGGTTGTGTCATGCATATAATTTGGATGTAAAGGCTAGTGTCCCCACCACAGCAAGGAACGGTTAATGAGATCCCTTCTTACACCAAAACTATTTTTTTCCGGCATTTATGACCATTTCTGCTCGATCGCCTTCCTCTCTGAAGCTCACCTTCTGTTCAGACTGCCACCAAGTGAGTCTCTCTCAGGTTTTTCGTTTTCTCTCGCCGTCCATAATTCAATTCTCGGCGGTGGCGGCCATCGGACGGCAGCCATTCTGCCGGCGGCGAGAAAACCGACAGCTGCGCTCATCCATTATTCGCTATCTCTGCGGCTGTGCGGCGGTCGAACCCTTTGGTCCACTTGGCGGCGACTCTGTGGTCCAACCCTTTGGTCCACCGGCATCGGTCGTCCGCCGTCCCGCCGCTCTGTCGGCCTGACCGTCCGCTGATCCATACGTTCTTGGACCCGATCTTCCCTCAATTCGTTCTATTCGCTTTCAGTTCCCACTCTTGATCCTCGGATCAGTTTGTTCATTAGTTGCATATTGTTTATCGGCAAATAACACCAATAAGCAGGATGCATATTGCACAGCAATACGCACATGCGCCCACGCGGTCATATTGCCTATGCGAAAGGCACAGTGCAAAGAGACAAAGTCGTTTGCTACTCGGGTCTACCAGACTTCCACTGCGTTTCCTACCAGACATCCACAGTGTACCACTGATATGTCATACCTTTAAGGTACCTCTTGGCCGGTCCGATCAGTCGTTCTGGTCCGTTGACCCGCCGCTCCAGTGCGGTTCGTCGGTCCATCGGTCCCGTCAGATCGGTGACCCGACCCTTCCGGAGCGAGCCGCCGGCGCCCGCTCCATCTCCGACGGCCTGGGTACGCTGATAACGCGGTCGGTGAGCCGATCTCTGCTGAACGCTGCCTCCGGTAGGCCATTCACGACGCAGATAGAGACGACAGGGTGACGAGATTACTCTTCCACTTCCGTCGAGCGATTGGCCGCCCTGGTGTATTGTGATAAGCAATTGCCCCGATCTCCTGCAATAACTGGTGATTCTGGAATTTTGGCCGCAATGGGTCAATTCTTATCTCCAATAGCATAAATCTATTATCTAGGATTTTCTGGGCTTGAAGATTCCTGAGCCTGATTTGTGTCGGTGAATTTACCACCAACAATCGATGCAGTTGCTAGCCGCAAATGGCGATGGCAAATGATAATAATACCACCACAACGAATCAACCAAATTGATAGACCCTTAACCCGCGCGGGGCTGGGGTCTCCAGCCGAACGCGCGGGGCTGGGGGGGGGGGGGGTAAATTTACCCCCCCCCCCCTGTTATCTCCCGAACTAATGGTCCGATTTGGAAAATTCAAACGCCAATCGAAAGCTCTCATCACGAACTACTAAAATCATGTACTTAATTTAAAGTGAGGTCAAGGTCAAGGTCAGGTCAAGGGTACAAATTGCAAGTTTCTACAGTATCGGCCTTGCACCGTAGTTGCCGAAGAATTGAGTCATGGACTGAGACTGATCGCCCAAAACGTGTTCTTAGGCTACCAAGACAATATTCGTTGCATACAATATCATTCAGAGGTCAAGGTCAAGGTCAGGTCAGGTCAGGTCAGGTCACCAAAAAACAAAATATAGAAAAGGGCATGTGCGACACATGTTTTATGGGTCATTTTACTCATAGAATTCAATAGGCACACTCAATAAGTGATATGGACCACCTCTGGATGAATTTCAGGTCGAGGTCAGGTCAAGGTCAGGTCAAGTGAGGTCAAATTTTGAAAATGGTTGTTAAGGCCTAAAAAGGTGTCTATCTGATGCAGTTTTTCACGGCGAATCGAATGGTGCTATTTTTGTTTCCGTACGAGGTCTAGAACTTCCAAAAAAGTCATTTTTCAAAAATTTTGTGTGTCGTGACGTCATAAAATTTTGAATAACTACCACATTTTTGAACCGATTCTTCTAAAATTTGGTATGTAGGTGCACATAGACCACTTCTCTGACATATATTCCGGTTTTTTCGATAGACTCAAAATTTTGGATTTTATAATGATTTTCCCAAAAAAATCAGTTTTTTGAAAAAATTTAGGCCAAAATCCAAAATTTTCAAAAAACCGAGATAGCCATTTGATAGACAAAGTAAAATTACGTACAACCTTTTTTGTTACGTCTTGATTCCTTTAAAAATGAAGATGTTAGCGGCGTTTGAACTTTTGCCGTTTTTGAGGCGAAAATGGCGAACATGACGTCACTAAAACGTCAATTTCTCAAAAATTTTCCGACGGATTTCGCTCAAATTTTCAGGGAACGTGTCAAATTGATGTAAGAAAAGGTACTGAAAGTTTGGCGGCGCTGCGCGCCGCCGTTTTTGAGATATCGCAAAAATTCGCGAGGGGGGGGGTAAAATTTACCCCCCCCAGCCCCGCGCGGGTTAAGAAACGCAACAACTAGAACGGTACAAGTTAATCGTACTACAAAATATCATAATTCGTATATCCCAGCAACTACCAAACTTTGGAATCAACTAAAGGAAGAGAGCAGAGCTCTGAGGACAAAGAAGGCATTCAAAAAAGAAATATATAAAATGCAGGCAAAAGAGCATCCACCGAAATATTACTCCCTGGGTAAAAAAATCGGCAACTGTCTATTAACGAGACTCTGAGTAGGGATGTCGAAATTAAATGCACATCAATTTACAATCCAAAGAGTAGATTCGCCAAGCTGCCACTGCGGCAACGAGCTTGAAAATGTAAAACACTTTTTTCTACACTGCCCATCATATATCGAACAACGACGTACTTTATACAGGTTTATTACTCATAATATTTGTGACGACTTCGCCCTTAAATCCGACACAGGTAAACTGAATCTCCTTCTACACGGAACAACCAACGAGCATGAACAACTCCTGACACTGGCACAACAGGTCCAAAATTACATTATGTCAACTAAACGTTTTTGTGTGTGAAACGCAAAAGTGTGTGATGCGTAAAAATAAATGAAATAATGAAAATAAATAAATAAATAAATAAATGAATGAATAAATAAACAAATAAATAAATAAATATACAATAGGGAACCCCTGGCGCTGCTGCTGCCGGCTGCTGATCCATCTTTATTACCGAGCGGGTAAATGAACTCACACCTATACGAGCGGCGGTCAACACATAGTCAAAATAAAGAAGCAAACAAGTAGACAAATATGTAAATACGAGTTACCTGATTAAGCAAAAGGCGCCATGATTCAAGTGTTTAGGCACTTTTGCGCCAATTGCATGCTCATCTTGTTTTTATTTTCATTTGTGTTTGTAATAAAATTCGTTGTGTGTGTGTGTGTATGACTAACGTAGTACGATCTGCTCATTAACAAATTTATTCCTCTAGTTCTTTGATATCAGCTCTTTGTTTACTGAGGCAATGCTAAGAATTTTACTTATGCAGTCAGTACTACAGTTACAGTCAGTACTAATTAATTATCTTGTAATTATTTTCCATTATCACATATGCTCATTAACTAGAAGTATTATGTCATTGTTGTCAGACTCATGAAGTGTGACTCGTATTCAGTAGTGTGACCCCAGTCGTAGGGGAAAGTGGGGTAAGACGGTCAGGGTAGGTAAGACGGGCACCCCTTCTGCAGACCAAACCAATAGCGCTACGAGCAAGAAAAGTTAGGACCAGAATTGCCTTTCCCACTACACACCACCATTCAAGTCTGGTGAATTTGTGTTCAGTCGATAATCTTTTATTTTGATTTCTTTAAAACACTCATTTCATTGAAAACATCCATAATGTATTGTGCAAGCTTTTGTGTACAGCACTATAGAGTTAAAAACTCGCAATCACTTGTGGTACACTCATATGCCAACAGTGTTCATTTACGGCGGATTTGCTTTGTCTGCATCAAATTGTCCACAGCGAAAAATCGTGCTGAACTTCTGACATTGAGTTTGGGGTAAGACGGGCAACTATGAACCCAATGGGTCTGTAATGGTGAAAATATTTTTGTTGCTGTAGGAAAAAAGAAGCATTTCTAATAAGAATATGTTCGATTCCGATACTCACAGACATGTTAGCAATATTCCTTCGGCACAGTTTATTCTCGAATAATGAATGTGAAAAACGGTTCTACATGGCTTCTGAACTAGGGCCTATATAGGAGCATACGCCTTCTGCACGAATCTCGTATACTGCCATTTCCGAAGCACTTGAGACCAACGAGCGACTGTATAAATGCGGCTAATCTCGGGCATTTGTTGCGAGCTGCGCTGATCGGTGAAAGAAGCTGGCCGTCTTGCCCTACCCATGTGACCGTCTTACCCCATGGGGTGGGGTAAGACGGGTTTTTGCAAGGTTTTGCAAAAATAGCTGCAGTTTATTTGTTGAATCAGGTCTAAGTCTCATCTTCTGGCAAATGAAAGTAAAATGTCTGAAAAAGGTTTTCACCCAGTTTCCCGTTTCTATGATGTTTCTAACCGGCCGAAAAATGGCTCCAAAGTTAAGGTGCCCGTCTTACCCCACTTTCCCCTAGACGGGTAAGGTCATCATTGTGTAAGTCACAGCTCTGACCGCCCTCCTCTCCATCTGGCAGCGCGGACGGCAACTACGAGGTCACCATCATGACCAAGGCGATCCTCAACTTCACCGGCCGCGTGGTTTGGAAGCCGCCGGCTATCTACAAGTCCTACTGCGAGATAGACGTCGAGTACTTTCCGTTCGACGAGCAGACGTGCTTCATGAAGTTTGGCAGCTGGACCTACGATGGATACATGGTTAGTGGAATATCCGAGGGAGTCCTTGTTTCAAGTCTATTTATGTAAAACTGTCGTATTTTTCTGTACTGATAAGCAGTTAATAAAAACATAAACTATAATTAATACATACTTTACGGTGCGTTCACTGGAGATTAACCGTGCGTTAATTCGAAGGTAGCCGTGCACCAATTTAAATTGGTGCACGCGCGTGCAATGATGACTTTCTCAACTGAAGTTTTTTGGAAAGGTCATTGACTTTATTCTAAGAATTCCCATAAAAGGCCCTTTTAGTGTCATGGACTAAGTTTAATTTTAATTCAAATTCGCACCGTTAAGCATGTATTAATTAGTTTAACACATGGTTTCCGTGCATAAATGGTTTTAACGCACTCGTGGATGGAATGGAGCACTTGTGCGTTAATGCACTCGTTTCACTCGTGCATTAACACACTCGTGCTCCAATCCATCCACGTCGTGCGTTAAAACCATTTACACACGGGAAACCATGTGTTAATATATAATATCTAAAAAGACTCTATTGATGTGAATTCATTAGCATAAGAATTCACATAAATATCACATAAAGAAATCACATAACTAATAAGTATATGAGCTCAGCCAGCAAATCTTAAAAGGTAATACCTACGTCCTACAAAGCAAAAAGCCTTGCAACAACATTTCGAAGAGAAAGAATAATCACCATGTCTTCAAAAGTGCTAACCTAAACCGAATGTTTTGATTAGTGATGTGTTTCTCGTTTCTTTCATTCTTACCGCTGTAAATACACATTTTTCACTATTTCTTAAAACGTGGTCCACCTCGTACTTTGTTTTTGTCCATTTAGAGACCTAATGTGCAAAACATCACACACGTAGCTCAGTTTCCTGCGAGTGAAGGCCATCCCTTAATGGCTCTGAATGGATTAGACGGAGAACAAACAGCTAGATTGGCTGAGCTAAGCATAAATTGGCGTGCCACTCCCAGCCTCTAAAAGAGACTAGTGGCGCCCTTCGGTAGCAGCGTAGGATGCTAGAACTTTGATATTGCTAAAAACGGTACTTACATAATACATACGTATATGAGCAGTGATCACATATACGTTAAAGTTGTGCGAGTACGATTATAACTTTATTGTACCCACGAGTTGCTGTTGTGTGGATAAAGATATGTTGAAACATTTTTCGCTTTGCTGTTTCTTCAACGAAACAGTCACGAGAGAAGTTTCTTGTTTCAAATGACGGCCCCTTTCCTGGTAAAAAAGGCAGAGTGTGCGCTATAGCGTTCTTGAGTGTTATAAGCGCCAAGCATAGCTCTCGGTGTTTCTATGACCAATTAGCGTAAACCTTAGTCGACGCTCATTGGATTACTGGCCGATGAGGTGTTTGAGATTAGCGCCTGGTGGGTTCCGGAAACCGTGCGCCAGTGTAACTAATAAGCAAGGTGGTTTATTACGGGTCATATTTTGGTGTAAGTGGACAATAGATATTCGATCATCTATGGAATTAAAGATTCCTTTTAATGCCAAATTGTGCATACATTAGTTGGTTTCAGGCCTGAAACGATAAAAAAGATAAGATGAGACATAACCCTTGTTTTATCCAGTAACCATGGTGAACTGCAACTTTTACTACAAAGCACGTCATTACCTCAGTATTTTCGGTTTTTGAACTGCAACGCTATCAATGCCTAACTAATGTAGCGAAGCTTTAACTCGATTGTGCCAAATTCGCTGCTCTGCTGTCATGCATGGGATCGTCGACCCACTCTGCGATCTTTGCTCTCAAGCTCAGCGCTCACCTTTTGGTGGCTCTCGGCCGCTCTGTTCATCTCTGCTGCGCCTGCAGTCGGCGCGGCGCGACTGTCACCAGCGCGCCGCAATCGATCCCCGCCAGCGGCGCCACAAATCAGACCCAGAGCGGCTGAGCGGCTGCCGGCCGGCCGGGCCGGTCCGGCCGACTCAATATAGAGCTCAGATCTATATCTGCCACCCGCGGGCCTACAGGATCGCGTCCCGAGCGGTCCGCTGCTTCTCTGAAGGATGGCCTCCGAAACGCATCCTGCAAAAGTCACAGAAAGGGCTGCCGAGGTGGCACACAAACAAAAGCTTTGGTTGAGAGAGATAAGTCACGAATAGTGATGAAACATAAGTACGGCTTTTGGTTTTGGAATATAAATCTGCCGTCCAAAGCCAAAACACCGTATGGGCCATTTTTTCCGAAATATGGTTTTTGATACCAGGACAATCCATTTTTGACGCTGCGTTTAGCTGTAACATTTATAGTTATGTATCAAAAATATATTTTTTATTATATTCGATAAGGTATTATGGCTTTTGTGGATAAACCATGATTTACCTACTTGGTGCCACCAAAATGCCGTATGAAGTGTGTTTGTGAAATTCATCAGTTGTTTCAAGTCGTCAACTCATGCCAAAACACCGTATCACAGCGATGTGGTCTTTTGGCCTTGGCGGACGCTGAACCTATGCCACTCTCATGCCACCGTTTCACGTGTGATGCGGTCTTCTGGCTTTGAGTTCGAACGAGGTATCCGACAAAACCAGTGACAAAAACACCGTATTGACTGATATGCGGTATTTTGGCATCGGTTGGTGTCGGTAATTCTCGATCACCTTGAGATGCGCTCTTTTAGCAAGAATGATTCAACGTGTTTAGGAAATAAGCTACTCAATATGAAATTCATGACAAAATTGACGGCGAAAATAATAACGACACAATTTTTAGAGGCATAATATTTAAAGATGTAAGCCATTAGAGCAATACCTGCCAGACTGTCACATGGGTGAAGTGGCTCAGATCAAGGCTGCTTTGAATGCAGCAAACAGGCGGTCCACCTCAGTTCAGGCAAGGAAGCCAGTGGCGAATATCGAAGAGAGGCCGATCGTGATTGGGCTGACGAAGGGGTGACGGCGACGGTGTCAGTATGATGAAAGAGGTGATGATACATAAGATTAGGTCTGGCTATGCTCCTTCGTCCCTGGGTGTTACGGGTCTTCAACTGAACAGTGCGGCAATGCCCGAGAACACCCGCAGCGTCAGAAAGGACTGTTATCATGTGGTGTCCGTTTGCATCGTCTGGGATGACTGGTGTAGCCGGACGTGGAACTGGTGGAGTAATCTGGTATTTACTTTTTGCCTGCAACTTGGGTCTTTCACACAGTCCAAAAATGAGCGCTGATGAATGCTGTTAAGTGTTCAGTGTGCAATCGAACTACCTCGCAATCCAGACTGACGCTAAAGTCGATCTAACCTGAAAACACCGGCATGAACGCCGATGTCGTAGCCGTGCCAGGTAAGTTAACCCAAAACTGAATCAGAAATCAGTTGGTTTCGGAGCCTGTGAATGCGGCCGGCGAACCCTTGAATATGCGTGGAACTCAGACTTTCCTGTAACTAGAAGATGACAACACTTCCGTTGCTTCATTTAACTATTTTTAGCACCGTCTTCTAATTGTAGCAAATTTGTAGAAAAGTCCAATGTACGCATCAAACGTTCGCCCCTGGGCTGCCTTCAGTCTGCGACTCTCCGTCATCAAACACATTCTGCTCTCCCCTTTGTAGACTGGATGAAAGTCCCAAGTTTCAAGCAAAAAAGTGATACAGCCACGTCCAGATACCTCCAGCCGTTCCACGTCCGGCTACACCTTCCAGACGATGCAAACGGACACCACATGATAACAGTCCTTTCTGACGCTGCGGGTGTTCTCAGGCATTGCCGCACTGTTCAGTTGAAGACCCGTAACCCAGGGACGAAGGAGCATAGCCAGCTGCCAGACCTAAGCTTATGTATCATCACCTCTTTCATCATACTGACACCGTCGCCGTCACCCCTTCGTCAGCCCAATCACGATCGGCCTCTCTTCGATATTCGCCACTGGCTTCCTTGCCTGAACTGAGGTGGACCGCCTGCTTGCTGCATTCAAAGCAGCCTCGATCTGATTTACTATGCCCACGTGATAGTCTGGCAGGTATTGCTGAAAGGCCTTAGACCCTAGAATATTCCCCTAATAATTCGTGAATTTTGTCGCGAACTCCATATTACATAGACCCGCCTATTTCCTACACATGATGCAGCATCGATGATTCCGAATGCTGGCAATTGTCGATGGATCATTCCATCATGTAAACTGTATGCTTCAACTTTACCGTAACTTGGAGGTCATCCAAGCCAAAACACCGTATTGGGGCATAAAACGCGATACGGTGTTTTTGCTCCGCGAAAAGGCACAAAATTTACATACAAACCAAGCCAAAACACCATATCGAATGCTAAGTAAAATGATAATGATTATTATGAAATTTGAATACATGTATCAATTCGGCAAGATCAGACAATTCTGATGGTCTTTTTCCTATCACGGAATGTTGATTTCTTCACACAGAAATCACACCTCGAAGTAAGAAAGCTTAAAATCGTTCCCCTGTAAAATTTGAAAAACCTGGGATACGGTGTTTTGGCTTTGGACGGCAGAAATGGTAGCGGTATCCTCAACGGGTTCTTTTTGGGGCGTGGATAAAACAATAAACCAATATTGTTTACATTCAAACATGTATGTAGACACGTTACAGGATGCGTGACATTGGACAGTGGACACTAGGGTGTCTCGAAAAATAAAGTTGACATGCCTATAGCCCAAAACATTTGCAATCGAGTCTGCTGGTTTCGAAAATCGCAATTAAAAAATTATGAGCCATTGTCTTCAACAAGCGCAGTCGCGATTTCCAAAAGCTTGCACCTACTTTTCGGGCGTTGCAGTCTCCATTGGTTTTGCTTGGTGTTAGTGGCAGTAATAATACGGTGGTTTTCACGAAAGTCTCAGGCAGAGTTCGTGGGTGAAGAGTTTAAGCGTAGTTTCAGGTCAGTAGTTAATTGACTTTATTTAGTGTAGACGTTGTCGATACACTTTTTAAAGTCACGCCTGTAATGCGACCTTCGCTTCAGCGCAGCTAAACTCTGGGCAAACCACGTCCGGCACCAGCCCATAATCTCAGTCGGAACTCGGACCAGACACGCTAGCGCCACAGACGCCTAGTCGACACTCGAGCCCCTCGAGCCCGACCGCGGCAGCAGCACAGTGATAACTTTCGTCTGCTCTAACCATAATCAAAGTACCCAAGTCACAATTGTGAGCCGTCTCGTGTCCAGAGCCTACTTGCCACTTGGCGAGGACGAGAACGACGCCCGCTGCCGCCTGGAGGCTTGGTGAGTTTTACCTCGAGGGGCTGCGGCCGCCAGTGTTGATTGAACTCTCGTGATGGTGTCGACTGTCGATGTATGCATTGGTGGTGAAGTTACTCATTCATTCTCAGGCCATGGCAAAGCCCGGTCCAAGTACCCGTAACCAGACCGTGGTCCCGGTCCTGAATGTCCACCCAGCAGAGCTTCCTCCATCTCCAATGGTCTCTTACACTGGCGGATCTGCAGGGAGGGGGCATTTAGGGCTATGCCCCCTCAAAGGCCTAAAGTGGCCTGTTTGCCCCCCCCCCCCAACGATAATGAAACATAGTTCAATCAGTGCGTGGCCCAGGAGCCGAGTTAAACAGGGGGTGTTTTACCACCTCCCGGCCCGCAAAGGTTGCGCCAAGCATCGACCCGGAGCGGGTTAACTGGTCGACAAAAGCAATGTGAAGTGTTTATACAAAGTGATATAAAGGCATGGGTCGGGTGGGTTACCATTTCTATATTTTTTCTTTCTAATTAAAAAAAAATGTTCATCGTGTCAGGGCTGTGACGAAAAATAACTGGCCTAAATCCGATGAGAAAATAGGATTTGGGGTTACGCTAGGTTTGGCTCCTAGGTACATGAGTTGCCCCCCCCCCAAAAAAAGCAAATCTGGATCCGCTAGTCTTCCTCGCACGCAGCTTCCGTGGAGAAGCGATGTTCTCCGATGATTCCTGAAGCAGAGGAATGCTGCTAGCGCAGAAGAGTGTCGCAGAAGCGTGTCGGCCATGACGGCCGATATCATTGTCAGCCGTGCGAAGTCAAGGCTCGACCTCCCACTTATCCGGACAAAAAAAAATTGGAATGGAGTGCGCTCAAGAGCAAGACAGAAACGTAGAAAACGCCGTATATCATGTGTGTTGACATTCTTACTGCATTTTAGGTACCTCGTCAGCGACATGGATATTAGCTTTTAGCATAACCTACTGTCAGCAGGATGATTATCACTCAGGTAGCAATTTTTGGATATGTTGCGCTAGGAAAGTGTTTTAGTAAATGTTTATGCAACAAATGTATTGATTCGTTGAAAGATCGCAAGCTGAAGCGAGAACGCATTTACACGGTTTACGTGAGAATAACACCGAAGAAAGCCTATGGAGACTGCAACGCCTGAAATTGTCAGGAAAGGGTTACAATAGACGAGGTGCGCTGGTTCTTAACATTAAATGAAAATTTTTTAATCATCATTTCATGTCATAATAAGGCTAGATGCAAGTGGTTTTTGCTATAGGAAGTGAATTAATTTTTTTGACCCCACTTTCGAGACACCCTAGTGGACACGCTGGCAATTGGCACGGTTCAAAGAAGAGGTTAGATTTACTAAAAAAATGTACCTACTAGTATTTTTATGTACCTTCATACTTACGTACTGACTTATATTTTTGTTCCCATGTAGGTATCAACTTTTTTGTCCGAAACGGTGCAACTGTTGAACATGGTAATCTCGACGTGGCGAACTTGCAACATGACTTTTTTTCTTTCTTCTTTTGATGCCAATCTTTCCAGAATATGACTATAATGCCCTTGTACACTTATCAATACCTAGATTCGCATTGTTTCCAAATATTTTTATTAGTACTTTGTAGGAAATCACGCTGGATTCTATTCGCAATAAGCAACAGCAACAGGAAATCCGTTCGTGGAAAACATGCTGATAGTTTTCTTAGGAGCCATATAGGCCTTCCAAGTAATCATCTTATTCAATCACGGTACCGCCAATCTGCTTTGAATTTTACCTTCAGAGAAAAAGCGTGGCTATGGCTTTGACAGGAGTAATTTCAGATGTGTATCGCAGGTAAATGGAAGCTGGTTTGCCGTTCTGGGGAGACAATTATGCCCCTGCATCCACACATTGCCATGCGGATGATTGCTTCTTCGACGTTTTGGCATCATCATGGCATTCGGGAAATGAGGAAAATGTTTTTTGAGTCAACATCTTGACGTCACTTGTGAGAATATTCATTCTGGGTTAGATGTCTCACCAAACATTCGAGCTGAATACCAGCAGCTGTATACAATGCATGGTTGGGATACATAAGAAGAACGACCTGCGTAAATGGACGCAGGCGCGTGTGGATGCCCATTGATTGCCCACATATATTGCATACGTCCGTGGCCATATGCTATTCAAAGAAGCATGTTTTTGGTGGTGGACCACACCTAAAATTTGTGCGTTACACTAACATGTTGCTATTATTGTTCGATGTTCCAGTTGGATCTACAGCATCTTCACCAGACTCCGGACTCAAACGACGTTGACTACGGCATCGACCTAAACGACTACTACATCAGCGTGGAGTGGGACGTGATGTCAGTACCCGCCCAGCGCCGGGAGCGGTACTACAGCTGCTGCGAGGAGCCCTACCCGGACATCTACTTCAACATCACCCTAAGGCGAAAGACGCTCTTCTACACGGTGAACCTCATCATCCCCTGCGTGGGCATCAGCTTCCTCTCCGTCCTGGTGTTCTACCTGCCGTCAGAGTCGGGCGAAAAGGTCTCGCTCTGCATCTCGATCCTGCTGTCGTTGACTGTGTTCGTCCTGTTGCTGGCTGAGATCATTCCTCCGACGTCTTTGACAGTACCTCTCCTCGGCAAGTACCTGCTCTTCACCATGATTCTGGTCACGCTGTCCGTCATGTCGACCATCTGCGTGCTCAACGTCAACTTTCGCTCGCCGAGCACGCACCGGATGTCGGGCTGGATGCGGCGCCTGTTCGTCCAGTACCTGCCCTCCATCCTGTTCGTGGTGCGGCCCGCCAAGGATGATGACGAAGAGGTCGTTCCTGACGGCGAGGAGTCGACGCTGGCGGAGCTGGAGCTGCCGGCGCCGCCGTCCCGCTACGACCTGGAGCGGTACGGCGACGCCAGTGTGGTGGGTGACCGGCTGGCCCTACCCTTCGCCTCCCCGCTGGAGGGCGGATTCTGCTCGCACCACGCGCCGCCCTCCTCACCTCCCGGGGGCAGCAAACTCGACTACCGCGTCCAGAACGCCATCATGGGCGTGCGCACCATCGCCCAACACATGAAGAACAAAGACACCTACGAGGATGTGAGTATACTACCGCGATTTTTTATCATGGTTATCGATTAATGTTTTGTTTCTTTCCTCGCCGTGTCAGCCTTAGGATCATGTCACTTAGATAGCTATTCTTTTCTCCTTCGTAAGGGGCTTAGTCGGATTCCATTGGTTCATGCGATGATGGGTAGCACAACTAAAATATAATATGGAGTATAGACCTTGCATATGAATCAATAAAAATGATTTTTGAGAGCCCGCAGACGTACATTGCGTATAGTAACTTATGTGTTTATCGACCCTTCCTCTTTTCAATGAATTTCATTGAAGGTGCCCAGCCCATACTTACGAGAAATCTAGCGTACAAACCTCATCAATCTTGCTTCTTGAAAGCTTTTGTGTTTCTAAACGCCTCCGTTATTCTGTTAACAGGCTATTATTCCGCTCGTATAGGCAACGGCGTTGTGCAGCTATAAATTTCATTTTCCTTGTAGCTCCTTGTTTTCTCGGTTCATGGAGCAACTACGAATGTGCTGCTTGCAGAAGAATGTGTAGTGGGATTTCATTAAATGATTCATTCCTAATCCTTCGTTTCACCTATCAGCACCAAATTTACCAAAGTATCCAACACAGCGACGGTAAATGTCAGCGAAACAAGTGATATTGTTAACCCTCGCCCGCACATGCCATTTTCCCATCCTAGAACGCACATGGGGGGTGGTTGCCACCCCCCCCCCCGCGCCATTTCGTTCCTGTTGGAGATAGAGCTTAGCGGTGAAGACCAAAAAGATTCTTTGGGAAGAGACAAATCCAATGATACCCAGTTTTGCCTTCTCAGGTCAGTCATTGACCTTCCAGGTCAGGTCAAACTAAAAAATGTTGCTGTTTTGGGTCACCGTTGGATATCAAGTGCGCTGCTTATCATATACCGATGACGATGCTGTTTTCTGGTGCCTGTACACCTGTACATCGTCGAAAAACATGTTCCGTGATAGTTGGGAGGTAAAACTGGCAAAAAAAGGCCGAAATCAAGGTGTCAAAAGCTCACAAGGCCCATGGCAAACGAAAGATGTTGAGAATTGGCCATTTGGGTCATGACATGACCTGAAAAACAAGGTCATATCTCCGAAACCAAAAATCACAGACACTTGAAATTTTCAGTGAACATCAAGAAAGGATAGAGGAGCAGCTATACGAAAAATCAGCCTTCTAGCTCCAAAAATGTTGAGTGCAGAGCAGAAAGACTACCTGGGGGGGGGGGTGGCACCCCCCCCCCCCCCATGTGCGGGCGAGGGTTAAACCGAATCACTGTTTGCTATTATCAACATTCGCATTCTATCTGTATCAGTGCAAACCCCGCCCTGTTCATCTGCCGGATGGCGGATAACAAACTGCTCTCGCTCTGTATAACCGACCGCAGCTGCTCCGCGCGATTTTCTGATGCCGACCTCCATTACGGCCAAGGCAGCCATGAATAAAAGATAAATGACGGAATCGTCGCTGCCGTAAATTTTGAGTTCGTTGTCTGGCGACATTGCGTCAGTTTATCAACATTGACCACGTGTCAGCGGCGGGCCTTTGGATGGATGCCACAATCGGCACCCGTCGCCGCGAGGGCTCCGCTCGGGCGGACATTATAACGCCGCTGAATACACAGTAATAATATGCAGATGAAGACTGGCGATGGCCGCTGCATTGTTAACGCTGATGTGAGAGCCGTTAGGGGCCAGTGAAAGCGACTGCCGCCTTCGCTGTAATGGTTATGTGCTGACTTGCCGCCGGGTAACGCCTGTTCTTATCAAGCGAGCTGCAAGGAGACAAATTAGTCTTCAGTTAGATTTGACAGCTAGCACACAAATTATCACGAAGTGATGTATTTCTCGACACAAACCAGGCTACACCACTAATGAGGTTATGTCGTAAGAAATCCTATGTATTCTCATTTTTTGTGACGGGAGAAATACATTGGCAGCGATGACATTCGTTCTCCTACCATCATCTATCACTCAACGATTGTCTCTACGTACCGCTGTCGCTGATGCGTCTGCGACGCCCCCTCCCCCTGTCCACAGATCGAGGCTGACTGGCAGTACGTAGCCATGGTGCTGGACCGGCTGTTCCTCTGGATCTTCTCACTAGCCTGCGTGATCGGCACGTGTGCCATCCTGCTGCAGGCGCCGTCACTGTACGACAACACGACACCCATCGACCGGCTCAAGTCCAAGGTGGCGCGGGCAGACCTCAACACCATGGGCCCTGAGGAGTGACCCTGTAGTAGCCGCTCGGACGGGTGCTGTGCCGTGAACACTGGTAACGGTGACGGCAAGCGTGCAGTGGTGCTGGTGCATGGCGAGCACACGGTGCTAGAACATGTTTGGGAGCTTGCGCTCGTGTGTGAAATGCTCCGAGTTCACAAAAAGCCGGTGTGTGGTGCTGTAGGAATGACGGTGGCGCCGTTGCTGTTAGAAGGGTCTTGGTGTCTCCGTGTTGACCAGGGGCGCGACTGAAAGGTGTACTGAAGGGAGGGTGAGGTAGGTGGTGTTTGATGACCCCGATTCTGTCGCCCAGCCCGTTGCATTCCGAAAGTTTCGTATCAAAGTAGCCAGCGCTGGCAGCTAAATGTTTTTCGTGGGTGATGCTCTACAAGGGCCCAAACTACCCTTACCAAGACTAGCAAACATCTCAATAGGGTACAGAGCGGATGCTTGAATCTTGCCGTTTTACAGACAGTAACGAGCTTTACGTGTCAGAGGCCGTTTACTGCAGCTGGAGAGCTAGCTGGCAGCTGTGGAGGCTCATTTATAAACTGGCTACCTCCTCTGATGACCGCATAGGCCATGCTTTAGCGTTCTGCGCTAGCCTCTAACTCTATTCCTGGTGTCTAGAGAGCAGCCAAAGGCAACATATATTGGCGCAACGGATCCGGTGAGAGCTGCCACATCTTGCAGCATCCTTCGCACCGACATGTATAGTGTTCCATAGCAATATTATGGTGTGGGTGAACCCACATTCGTATATGCTCGTCGTATGTACATGGAAAACGTTCCTGCTTGCCAACTAAGAGCATTCAAACAAAGTCTGCAGTGTGTGCAGGCAAATGCTCAAACAGAGGTTGCGTATATTTGTACCAATGGGAAGCGAGTCAATCTTTCATGTCTTCCAACTTTCTTGCCTGCTTATATAATTTTATTAACTATGGACATGTCGTACTGTGGCTGAATCCTTTATACAAACAATTAATCTCATGATATGTTGCTTATCATATATTATTCGTGCAGAGTATCAACCCGCGTAACTAAGTATACTCATAAGTTAGAGGAGCGCTCGGTGTCTGTACCACTGTTCACGGAAGAAAATGATGCTCACCTCGAATAAACATTCCTTCCACAACGATGTTTAGGTGGGCCTAACTTCATTTAAATGAACACATACTAGCCTGACGGGTCAATTTTTGATTGTGACGGAAAGTTGACAATTACAACGCTGAAGCATCATCGTGTAATATGATTATTATAACAGCTGATATATATTCAGTGATTCACCTACGCCTCCATGCTGCATTGAGAGGACCGCTTCATCCTTATGACGCCTCTTATTACTTCTCTTACGGTCTTGGCTTTATCATGAAATGTTATCCATTTTGGTCCCAATGCTGGCACAACCGCTATACATACATACAAACTCATCCGTCATGCATGTCTGCAATATCCTCACCGAGGTCAGACAAATGTCACAAGCTCGTTTTATGGGCGAAACACGCAAGCGAGCTGCCCAGTTGCCACACTCCTGCTGTCATTTGACTGAGCTGCACCATCGTGCAAATGGACTTGTCTGGAACGAGTTCCATTTCCGGTCTATCGTCCCCAGAGAGTCCGTCGCGGACGCTACAACGATCGAGGCGAGGAGTCCGATGGAGTCCGACTGGCCAAGGACTGCACGGAATCACCACCAGTTCATGTTGGAAATTGACAATAAACTTACTGCTGGCGCCGCAGAGAACGGAGGCATCACTTGTTGGGATTGTTTGGCGTTGGCTTGTCATAGCGCCAGCGCATCGCATAGTGCTAACAGCGCAGTGGAAACCTTCAATTTGACAGCCGTCTTGCCTATCTATGAAAGTGCGTGCAACTCTGCTTGCAGCAGCTCCGTTGCCGCGAAATGTTCCCTGTGCTGTGACACGTACCTATGCTATTTCCCTGATTGTGGCGGCCGCCGTCCGCGGCTCCAGCGGACTGGCTGTGATGGCGACACACTGATATTCCCGTCTGCATTGGCCTGTCGTACCGAGCCGCTGCAGAATGTCAATGCCCGGGACAGCACGGTCCCAGGTGTTACATGCGGCTCATTTCAGCGACCCGCTGCGGTTGGCAGGGTCTCTGTTTTGGTTCACTGTTGAGCGCCGATCGGGCGGCTGTGTGCAGTATCTGTGTCGTACGCTGCCGGATTGTGTGGGTGGAAGAGCTTATAAGGGTCGCTGGCGCTGCTGCCGAGCAAGAGATAACTGGCTGCTGAATCCCCTGGAAATGGTCAAAGGCGATGCTTTGCATATTGGAACCTCGCAAAATATCTTTTACCTATGAAGTTTTATTCCGCGAAGTAGTTTGGAGAACACCAAGACCTAATGTGCGCTAAATTGTCAGATGTTTTTGTATGTGATTAAATTTACGTCACAATATCCACACCCGAGTAATCCAGCTCTAGCTAAATGTACCCAGCCTATAAAGGACGAAAAACGTACATAAGATTCGCTATCAAAATACCACGTTCCTTTATATTTTATCCTCAATTTTCCAAGAAGAGTTTCTATCATCTCCATCAATCCACTCAGATCTCACGTAAGTCTCTCTTATTTCGGTTTCCGGTCCGGTTACCTACGGCTGGATAAAGGAATTCTCGCTCTCTCCGGGGCCCTATCAGGCCGTGGAAGAGTGAGCACCGAGGTAATCACCTCGGACTGTGCCCCGGGGGCGCTGTTGGCGGCGCCGGAGAGCGCCATCCGCGTCCGTTTGAGAAGACCGAGCGCACTATAAACGCCCCCCCCGCGCCAGTGAAACTGTCTGGCGGCCACGGGTGTGGACTGTGGCACCCCGGTATCATCCACGGGTATTACGGGATGGGGCATCCGTGGACCAGCACGGAACGACACTGATCCCATCGTCCACGGGTGTCCACGTGTGCCACGGTGAGTCTGATATCACGCGTGGCTGTGTAAAGGTGTGGGAGCATTGAACAATGAAGCAGTCAGCAATGTGTTCCACATTCAAAGATGTCCAGCGCCGAAAGACTATCTGACGCTGACTGTTGTGATCTGCGGACATGCTCACACTTCCAACGCCGCAGAGTCTTCTTTACTCGCCGGTTTAGCTCAGTCCAGCCCTCAGCCCTGCGCCCTAGGTGCTTCCTGGTTTGAAGCCACAATATAAGCAGCGATGAATGAGTTTGTTGCCATATTTGAGGCGCGTCAGGTGCATTATTGCAAACCTGAAGTGGTCATCTTGTCATGACATTATTAACCCGCGCCGGGCCGGTGCTCTGAGATTCCGCGCCGGGCCGGGGGGGGGGGGGTGTCTGAACACCCGCCCCCCTTCTAACTCGGCTCCTGGGCCACATAGCGAAACGCGGTAAGCGGCAATCGAAAGAACGTCCAAAATAAGGACGAAAACGCTTCGGTCATTTTTTGGGTCAGGTCAAAGGTCAGGTCACCAGAGGTCACCAAAGGTCAAATGTTCACTATTTCAACATTTTGGAAACTGCCAACGGCTATCTCGGGAACCGATAGAGCTACAGCGCTGCGGAAAAGCGCATTCGATAGCCCTTTTACAGACCTTTCTGAGTAATGTCCTCAGATTCGACCTCAGGTCAACGGTTTAGCCTCCAGAGGGCAAAAACTCCAAAATATCCGTTTTTACGAAAAACGTTTTTACGGCAATTACTTTTGACTCAAAAAAGTCATGACATTACTTTTGCCACCATCGTGTTTCTCTCGTCGAGACGCGTCGAATGAACTATAATTTGACCTTGAAAGGTCAACTTGAAAATTTGACCTCAGGTCAAGTTCATGACCTGACCGGAAAAGGTCATGTTGCATATCAATCGATCCGCAACGTCGAGCCGAACACATCTAACCCTCGCCCGCACATGCCATTTTCCCATCCTAGAACGCACATGGGGGGGGGGGGGGTTGCCACCCCCCCGCGCCATTTCGTTCCTGTTGGAGATAGAGCTTAGCAGTAAGGACCAAAAAGATTCTTTGGGAAGAGACGAATCCAATGATACCCAGTTTTACCTTCTCAGGTCAGTCATTGACCTTCCAGGTCAGGTCAAACTAAAAAATGTTGCTGTTTTGGGTCACCGTTGGATATCAAGTGCGCTGCTTATCAAATACCGATGACGATGCTGTTTTCTGGTGCCAAGCCAGCTAGAACCTCTTTGTCACACTATCCGACCAGAATTTTGCTGCTGAGGTCATTTCAGGTCAAGTTAGGTCAAGGTCAATTATATGTGTTTGTATGTCTGTGTGTGTCTGTGTGTATACTGATGTGTGCACCGATTGTTTTTGGGTCCATATCACATGAAATCATGATCTGAGAAGCTTTTACCAAAAATGCAGTCAAAAAAACTTCACAAAAAGTAAATTCAGCTTGCCTAAAACGCAATTATCTTAGATGACCTAGGTTGACCTTGACCCTGACCTTGACCCCTGTACATCGTCGAACAACATGTTCCATGATAGGTGGGAGGTAAGACTGGCAAAAAAGGCCGAAATCAGGGTGTCAAAAGCTCACAAGGCCCATGGCAAACGCAAGATGTTGAGAATTGGCCATTTGGGTCATGACATGACCTGAAAAACAAGGTCATATCTCCGAAACCAAAAATCACAGAAACTTGAAATTTTCAGTGGACATCAAGAAAGGATAGACGAGCAGCTATACGAAAAATCAGCCTTCTAGCTCTAAAAATGTTGAGTGCAGAGCAGAAAGACTGCCTGGGGGGGTGGCAACCCCCCCCCCCCCATGTGCGGGCGAGGGCTAAGGGGTTTTCAGCGCTCTAGCACGTCTCTATCAGAAGTTATTAGCGAAAAACTGTTAGATTCTGTTCGTGACCTGAGATGACCTCGGGGACATAACGAGGGGTCACAGTTGCCATTTTCCGGTTCAGTGTGTCCATTTTACCTACATCTCGATGCCTGGGCGTAGGAACGTCATGAAAAGTGGGTGGGCCACCCTGTCAAGGGGCCTCCTTTTCCAGGGGGCCTCCTATTTTCAGGGGCCTCCAACTTCTGCCTCGTCCTGCTGGCTGCTTTCAAGTATAACCTCCAAATCTAGCTTCTGAGATCGGGCAGATGTTCCCAGGGGCGTAACCGCTTAAGCGAACAGTGCGGAAAGTCCGCATCATTTTTAAAGCTTATTCCCCCTCCGATTTTTTTTTTTAATCTATTTGCCGCAAACGGCGCATGACCCCTGGAAACCCTTACACAAATGTCTTCCTCGTTTCCCAGGTGCCCCCATTAGCTTCATAGGCGCCCTCTTTGGCATATAAGCGCCCTATGTATAGTCATCAGAGACATCCCTATATGTCCAACAGTCGCCCCGTTGTCGCATACAATGTGCGCTTATCATAGGCGTCTCTCTTTTATGGACACTTGAAGGCGCCTCTCTTTGCCATGCCGGCGCAACTGTTTCTTATGAATGCACCCCCATGGCATTGATCAATTGCAATTTGCAGACCTCTATTGCATGTGGACGCCCATATATGTAGGCCTCAGAGGCGCCCCTCTTTCGCATTGAGGCGCCCCTATGGGCTTCATAGGCGCCCCTCTATTGCACGTAGGTGCCCTACTGTCTCAGAACCGCTCCCCTTTGGCATGCAGACGCCCATCTTTCGTACGGAGGAGCCGCTGTGGTTCTTAGAGACGGCATGGTGCTCCCAGACGCAGATGGAGCTCTCGGAGTCGACAGTGTGGGACCTTCAGTCGCTGATGGGTGCCCGCCAGATGTGGACCCTCGGAGACGCCGGTATGGGGCCCTCAGAGATGCCGGTATGTGGCCCTTTAGAGACACCGGTGTGGAACCCTCAGATACTTCAGTGTGAAGCCCTTACAATTGCTGGTGTGGGGCTATGAATGCGCTGGCTTAAATCCCTCAGAGGCCGGTACATGGACATTAGAGCTCAGTGAGAGTTTGTGTGGTGCCTTCAGTGGCCTTGTGGAGCCGTTAGACATCAACATGGTGCTCTCAGGAGCCGGTAAGTCCTCAGAGTCACCGGTGTGGGGCCTTCAGAGCTCCGAGATACTGGTATGGGGCCCTCAGAGGTGTCGGTGTGGGTCCTTCAGATGTACCTATAGAGCCTTGAGATGCACAGGTGTGGTGGCCCACAGAGGCGCCGGTGTGGGGCCCCCAGAGCAACCGATATAGGGCCTTAAGAGACACTAGTATGACACTCAAAGGCGCCGCTGTGTGGCGCTCATAAACACTGGTGTGGAGCCATCACAGGCGGATGGAGCCGTTAGAGGCCGGAAAGGGCCCTTAGATGCCTACAAGGAGCCTTCAGAAGCCAGCGTGGCACCCTTATGGGGATAAGCGTGTCTACTTAGGAGCCCTTGAGGTGCTCTCATGAGCTCTGTGGGGCCCTACCGAGCCGAAATATGGCCACGGCCAGTTGCCGCCGCATGGCTCTTCGGACTATCATTCTCAAGGGCCTCATCTGCCTAGTTTGAATAGAAGGGCCTCTCAGACCATCAGTCTCATGGGCCTCCTCTGGCTAGTATAAATAGAAGGGCCTGTTAGACCATCAATCCTAGGGGCCTCCTCTGGTTAGTATAAATAGAAGAGCCTCTCAGACCATTGATCTTAGGGGGCTCCTGTGGACAGTATAAATAAAAGGGCCTCTCAGACCATCAGTCCCGGGGGCCTCCCTAGAAAAGTGTAAATGTGGATAGAGGGCCCCCTCAGATTCATTACGAGTGGACCTCTCTGACTTATCAGTCTCAGGGGCCTCTTGTGGCCAGTATGCATATAAGAGCCTCTCAGACCATCGGTCCCAGGGGCCTCTTCTGACTAGTGTGGATAGAGGGCCTCCCAGACCACCAGTTTCAGGGGCCTCCAGTGGCCAGTTATATGAACAGAAGGGCCTCACAGCCATCAGCCTCGGGGGCCTCTTCTGACTGGTGTGAATATGAGGGCCTCTCATACCATCAGTCTCAGGGGCCTCCTCTGCCTAGTGTGAATATAAGGGCTTCCCAGGCCAGCAGTCTCAGGGGACTCTTCTGACTGGTGCCGGATTGAGGGACCTCCCAGACCGAAAGTTTTGGGGGTCTCCTGTGGCCAGTATGAATAGAAGGGCCTCTCAGTCCATCAGTATCATGGGCCTCTTCTGCCTGGTGTGATTATAAGGGCCTCTCAGGTCATCAGTCTCAGGGGCCTCCTCTGACTACAATGTAGATGGATAGGCCTCCCAGACATCAGTCTCAGGGGCCTCTTCTGACTATTGAGGATAGAGGGGCCTCCTCTGACTAGTGAAGGTAGGGGGCCTTGGCTAGACCGCCAGTGTCAGGGGCCTATTCTGACTAGTGTGGATGGAGGGGCCTCCCAGACCACCAGTCTCAAACCTCTGACTAGTGTAGATAGAGGGGCCTCCCAGACCGCCAGTGTCAGGGGCCTCCCCAGACCAGTGTGGATATTGGGGCCTCCTCAGATCCACTAGGGCCTCTCAGGCCATCAGTCTCAGGGGCTTCGACTGACAAGTATGAACAGAGGGCCTCCTTGGATCCATCACGGCCCCTTGGAGTCCGTGCGTGGCGATTCGTGGAACTTATTTTTACCGAGTTTGTTTATTCTGGAAGGTGACGACGTCCTCTCAAATCGAGACGAGGGGCCTCGAGTAAAAAGTGGGTGGGCCAAAACACATGGTTGGCCCCCCCACCTCGAAAAGTGGGTGGGCACTTGCCCACCTGGCCCCCCCTGTTCCTACGCCTATGTCTCGATGTTTGAGAGTGTCTAGAATAGTGTTCGTGCAAAACAGACGCTTTTCAATTAGGTATCTCCCATTGACTTATAATGGAGAGGTCGCAAAATTGACCTGACCTTAGGTCACCGATATCAAAATTCCGAGATATACATTTCATAGATAATGTTGCTCTTATCAATCGCTGAAAGTTTCAAGGCAATTGATCAATCGGTGTAGCTATGACGAGCATTCTTATTTTTTCTTAGGTGAGGTCACTTGGCGTGACCTGGTGACCTGACCTAAGGTGGCCTGGGTCTGAAATTTTCACAACATGTGCGTAAAGGATGCACAAACAGGTGTGCCAAAAACGGCGGCGCGGAGCGCCGCCGTTTTTTAGATATCTGCGAAAAACAGCAGGGGGGGGGTGTTCAAACACCACCCCCCCGGCTCGGCGCGGGTTAACGTTGTGTTTATGAAGTCGGTCTCGTGTGCAGAAGGTACTTGCTCTGAACGGGCTCATTTGTACATAATGAGGTACATACATATTTGTGCCTTAGTTCTAATTCCACAAAAAGGCTGTGAAGTCCAACGCTGTAATACCCCGCGCCGGACCCGCGGTGCTCCGCGACTTCCGCGCCGGCCCGGGGGGGGGGGGTCTGAACACCCCCGACTAACTCGGCTCCTGGGCCTGGCCCTGGGCCACGTAGCGACACGCAGCAAGCGGCATTCGAGAGAACGTCAAAAATAATGACGAAAACACTTCAGTCATTTTTGGGTCAGGTCAAAGGTCAGGTCGCCAGAGGTCATCAAATGTAGTCCGTTTCAACAATTTTGGAAACTACCAACGGCTAGCTAACTCGGGGACCAACCAGCAGCGACATCTATAGTCGCGAGGCAGCGAGGTTGTAAGATAACGGGCTGTAGAGGACAGCGTAGTGCCCTTTTCCACACCGACACCCGAGTGACCGATGTGTTAGCTACAAAAATACCTATGCATTCTGTTCTGATGTGCTTACGCATGTTTGATGACGACTCTGGATGACGTCCTACCATGCTATCGTTTCATTGAAACCTTTGCATTATGTACGAGTATGCCAATTGACGAACGAATGGTCAGCTATAGAAACAATGGCCATGGTGACTTCTCTGACTGTCATTGTCATTGGTTGAATCTGACTGTTATTTACGTACTTATTTGGCGATTGAAGCTCATTTATCGCAAAACCTAGTTGGACTTATTTGGACTTTATTAAACGTATTTGGATAAGCCGTATCCGTCAGTATCAGACAAGTTGATAATATATAAAGATGGAGATGTAGGTAGGTAATCGATCCTTGAATGACCGTTGTCTGCGCAAAATAAGATAATAGCGAATGTAAGGGATAATTCTTATAAGAAACGTATCCATTTTACGTTTTCTATACATCACGATGAGGTAGGCCCACAGGGTCATGAAGTTTGTGCTGGATAGAAGATAACAGTGAGCTAAGCTGAACCCTATTGGCTCGGAAAGGTTTCCACAGATTCCTACCAACACAGTGATTAACAGGCCACGCTATCCCCAATACCGTGTAACAAATTCGCGTCATTAGGTGACGTGCACGGTGCTGACGTCGGCAGAGAGTGACAGACAGGTGACGGCGGCTGACCTCTGACCCCGGCGAGCGCGGCGGTCCTCCCTGGTGACTGCCTGTCCGGTGGAAAGAGGGCGACGAGGTGACAGCTGGTCGGCCTGTCATCAGCGGCAGCGGTCAGCGACAGCACAGCTGTGGTAAGCAACAGCGGCAGCAACAACAGCGGCAGCAGCAGTCAGCGGCAGCGACAACAGCGGCAGCAGCAGTCAGCGACAGCAGCGGCAGAGCCAGTGGCAGCGGCAGTGACAGCAGTTGGTCAGCACTTACGCCTTATAAGTCAGTGTCAGCGGCAGCGGCAGCGGCAGCGCCAGCGTAGGTGGCTCGGCGCGGAACAGCAGCAAAGTCACAAGGTCAGTACCCGTACGCATCTTTGATCGTCCATTTGAAAGGCGACTTTTCAAATGGAAGCCGCTGGAACCTTCAGCGAAAGCACCATTCATTTGGCGTTTGCATGATTACCGATTTTGTAATTCAGGAATGCCTTCTCTCCTGTATTATTGCACCGACTTTACTGTTGTTTCTCCCATTCGGCTTTCTCAACAGCCTCTCTAGTCTCATTTTTGTCTATGAAAGCGGCTCCTGTATTTCAATAGCACATATGAAGTGGACTGTATATTGTATAAACTACTCGCCTATCTGCCCGGTATTTTCAGATCCGTAGACAGAGCGCCATGGCCCGACCTTGTATGAATATTGGACCCAGGAACCATATGGGGCTGTTGACGGCGATCATTTTATGTAAGTCAAAAATGATTCCGACATGCATCGAAACAGTGCTTTTGCTGATGATTACAAAGGTGAAAGCGAAATGCAATTGCTTTGCCTTTTTGTCTTTCTTGAACCAATGACATTGACTGTGATATAACAAACTTCGACAACATGTAATGGTCTTAGAATAAGTGAAGCATCTTCTAGAAAGGTTTTAGGATCGATAATTTTTTTTGCACACGTAGGCTAAACATGTAAAAGGTGAGGACAAAGTAAGTCATGATTTCAAAAGCACCAGTGAGACAGCAAAACTCAACCACCAATTCGTCTCCAATTTCCTCAGATATCTGTCTGCTGAGTCGGGTGCTTGGAGCCCCCGATGATGTAGAGGAGGAGGTAAAAGACGCCTCCGCTCAAAACGAAATGGTTAGGAAGGAGGCTAGAAAATGGCGACAAACTTCAACTGCACTCAACGACCTTTTACTCTATGGGTACAACGCCAGACTGCTGTTGAACGCCACACTCGCTCATCTGGATACATGTGAGTTGTGTTTCTGGAGTTTTGTGTCCATGTTTTAAATACAAAGGCATCGATATAAACTCGTCTGACCTCCTTTATGGTTACGTCTATACCAATATGCCGCTTTTTTCTTTGTTTAGCCGCACATGATGGTTTACTGCTTCTTCCTATGCATATTATCACATACTCGTACGTATGTGACTGAACCATACCTGTTTGAATGTTGTAGCATACAACAGGTACTTGTGGCCTACTTGTAGGTATATGTGATCTGACAATGTTGATTCCTGCCGTGTCAGACGCTGCGGATCGGGTACTGACCGGACCTGTGCCACCCTGTATGACCGGACCCTGTCGACCCCCTGGCCGACATGACCCGACCGTCTTCGCCGATCGACATGAGGTCACATTCGCAACGACTAACGATAAATACGCTGGTGGGTTGCAGCAGTTTGGCTGTGAGACTTTCGGGTTTAGACTATAATAAGTGGAGCGTAAGTTTGATGAGTATAATTGCATGCAGTTTAATCGTAGTCAATATCGGTCGTCTGAAGGAAAAATGTTACAATGTTCATGTTATGATTTTTATCAAAATATGAATATGAAGGATAGGCATTAACGCGATAAACCATTGTGTCTTTTTTCTAATTGCATTATCGTTCGTAATTGTCCATCACAAAACAACTACCAAGATTCCTTCGCGTTCAGCTTACACTGCCTATGAAGGAGCTGCTGTGCTAAAAAAAGAGTATAAAAAGCTATTATTTAGCCAGCACCATAAATAACTCAGTCGCTTGTGCTGTTGGCAGAGCTTTGTCCGTCCCGAAGCGGAGATTTCCGCCACCCCACGGACCGTCAGAAGTTCTACCGATGCAACGAGTTTTATTACACATTAGAAGACTGCGGGGACGGCTTTTACTTTGACTCCACCAGACGCTTCTGTTTGCCTTACGCGAAAGGTATGTGGAAAATGGACGAAAAATACCGATATTTCGAATGATTTTTTTCCATTTTCAGCCAACTGGTACATGCAACATAAAACCAGTGAAGACGTATTGGTAGAGTGCAACCTGACGATTGTTATTATTTTTATTTTTTATCCTCATAATTCTTGAATTAACCCTTTATTGCAGCTGCGACATCGGTGGAACGGGATATGGAAGCGCTACTGCCCAAGGAAGAAACTGACACAAGCACAAATGGATCTGTAACTACAATGCACGGAACAGGTCAGTAAAGAAGCTTAACGCAATAATAAACAGTTCATTCAATAGGGTCAGCGGAAGAAATTTGGGAGATGGCATCATTTATTTGAAAAGAATGCTTCGAAAAATATTTGTCCCCACTGATCAATTACCTTCCGCAGCTAAATCCTAGCGGCTAGCAGTATGTATACTTATTTGTAAAGAATCGTTTATCTGTGAGTCTGGATAATGGGACAAAGAAGACGATGCGCTTTACAAACTGATGTTCGGCGAACGCCCAGTACAAACCATGCAATGTGCATTTACTTGCTCATACTTCTGCGGTAACTGTAAGATAGCTTTGGCCTGGTCGGACTGGAACTCACACGGATAGATGAATGTCTTGGTGTGCTTACTTGTGGTGCGTCCAATCAACATTGGCCTGACCCAAACTAAGCCCATTCGGCTGATGGGTGTGCGTGCACCATTGGAGGTCAATAAATGATTAGCACAAAGCTGACACAACCCGTCCCAGACAGAGCTGGCCAACTTACAGAAAATTTGTCAACGCGACCTTTTGATTACCCCGAGAACAGACTTCACTTGACCTGACCTGTCGTGACCTGCCGTCAGCCGGCTGGCTGTGTGCCGAAGACCGCCTGCCTGCCGGCCGCCAGTGGGACCTCAGCAGGGCCGGGGTGTCCGGCTGCTGGGCTGAGGCCCTCCGGCGGCGGGCCCGCCACCTGGCGGTGGGCCTCTCAGGCTGTCTGTACGGTGACCTGACCTCACTGGTCACCGGCGGACCCTGCTCCAATCGGTCACTGCATGTCATCGATGTCCAGCAGCATCAGAAGCAGATCAGCAAACTGCGGCCAGGTGGGAGTTGGACACATTGCTTTACGTGTGTGGGAGACATATGTAGGCTGTCGTAATGTCTTTACAGGCTTTACTGCTGGTTCGCTCAACACTTGCAATTTAAAGTTTTGACTTAGAATAAATAATAGGTACGCGAAAAATTAATGTCAGTGTAACATGATCTTGTCCAATTTAGAGCGTCGTTGATATTTCGCGCTGTTTTGCGTCAAATCATACGCGTCCAGCCAATAGAAAAACAGGTAACTGGGGTCTTACAATGCCGAGGCCTCTTGCACCAAACTACCTACCCAGGTAAATTCCGATTTTACCTAAATTCTCTTGCACCAAACTACCTACCAAAAAACGCTACCGTGAAAATCTACCTAGAAATTCTACCGAGCGGCATCGGAACTTACCAGTTGTTGAACTGCGACCGGCTGTTTTCCTCTTGCACCGAAAGCCGGAAAGTAGTACTCGCGGAGGAAATTTTGACGTTTTGAAGGTAAATTCGGGCCTCGAAAATAACTAGCAAAAGCTTAGGTAAAATGATTCAATTAGTAACAATAGGCACAATACATGATATTCCACGGGTACTTTTATGTAAATTAGGCATTACAAAATGTTTAGACAATGATAAATCAATGTTTTATGAGTGAATAATAATATAATTGACCAAATGCTCCATGGGTTCACAGAGGTGCTTCTCCGTACCAAGGCGATAAACCTCCGTAGCAGAACAGCCAGGTTGAAGACTCACTCGTTGCCATGGAAACGAAGCTTATTTGTTCAAGTAATTTAATATCAAAATAACTTCTATCGGTATTTACGTAAATGAAAAATGATTTCATAATACCAAAATGTATATTAATAAAAACAATATCCATTTAATTGTTTTCTTTAGTTACTATTTGTTTGCGCCCACAAATAATTCGTCGCCAAACAGCCAATCAAAACAAATCCTAAAAACGCGAGCTGTCAAATTTACCTAGGTAGGTAGGTAGGATGGTGCAAGAGAAGCTACCGCCGTAGGTAGTTTTACTAGGTAGGTATTTTGCCGATTCTACCTAGCTAGGTATTTTGGTGCAAGAGGCCTCTGATCTCTTTCAGGGGCGAAACTGTGGATAACAGGCAGCGATCTGGATGGCATACAGTGGGTGCCAGTAAACCTCAATGGTCCCGCCACGCTCCGCACCTGCACAGAGGCGTGTGTGGAGCAGGGAGCCGGATTCAGCAGAGTTGATCAGTAAGTGCATGTGGGGTCTCACAAAAATATGCATGGATTTAAAATCGCATAACTTGACCATTCTTATTTGTCATTAGCTAATATTGCATATTGCACTTTTATTCATCGCAGTTCTTCTAGCAGCAACGAAGCCTGCATGATATGATTGGACTCGTACCTACACATGAGGCATCAGATATGTTGCAACCGATATATTTTAGCACAAGGGTATTATTCCTTCAATTTACCCTGTCACAGCCAGGGATGTCGATGCGGCCTGTCGTCTGGACCTACCTCGATCACCACCGCCCTGCCGGTATGGAGGGACGCCCTCCCGGCCGCTGTGACCCCTGCAATCATCCTGAGCCTGTGGCTGCGCCTGCCGAGGGGCGCCAGCTGCAGCCCTGGGGCAGCCTCCGTCGCAGAGGACCCAACAGCCGTCCAGGGGACGATCGACTTCTGCGAGAGCCGCCGGAGGAAAAACTACACCACTGGCGGGTGGGTAACTACATACAGCAGGGGCATTCCACGATAGAGCGACCAAAGGCGTACACCCTCATACTTTATTTTTTGCTTAAAATTGGTCTAATGGGTTGTTATGGGCGGGGAAGCCAGCTGTGCCAAGGATTTTTTCTTCGAGCAACGGTTTCCAAGATATAGCCTCAGGCAATTCCTGGAGGTCACGCTACAACCCTATGTTTGGCGGCTTATAACTCAGAAACTATTGGTTTTCTATGGTAAAAACTTTATATGGTTCAACTCGCAATCAACCAGCAAACGTTTTGGCTATCTCGGATTTTCGATTTTTGAAAATTTTGATCACGTGGCATCTCGATACTTTTTTTGAAGAGTGACCTTGATATTTTCCCAACTGAAAGTCGCAATTTTGTCTGATGACGATTAAAGCCTTATCAATTGTCATTCATATGCGACAATAAAAAAGTGGCTTTCGGCCTGCATTGACCTGAGATCAGGTCATTTTTGACCTGTCCTTTATAAGTCAATGGCAGAAATGTCGGCTACCACCGAAACGCATCTGACCGGTTCAAATACTTTTGAATCATGCTGAGTTAGGCTATTATTGATGGCACTGGTGCAGCTTTGTATCAGTGACCCCCTGAAATGTCATCCGAGGTCACGCGTTGAACACACAATAATTTTCCGCTTTTGGCTGTACCTTTTGATCTAATAAAGAAAGAGACGTAGAATTGGCACTAATCCGTTTGCTTTCGCCTAGCGCCAGTTCGTTTTGCATTTCGATACCGATGACCTGAGGTCGAGTCAATTTCTTGACCACCCCATTTTAAGTCAAATGGGGAAAAATCAGTTCCCTTATTTTTACACTAAAACGCGTCAGAATTGCCTAATATACCATGAGTGACTCCATATGCGACTAACTTTGACTACCTTGAGACCTTTTTTGCTCTTGGTCAACTGTGACGTTGCTCTTGGGTCATGTGACGTCATTAAAGGTCACCAAATGTTTTTGCTAATAACTCCTTACAGGTTTGAGATACAGCCGCGCGGATAGTCTCATTGTGTGCAGCTCGTCAAGGCCCATCGAATGATATATATGATGACCTTAACCCTCGCCCGCACATGGGTGGTGGTGGTTGCCACCCCCCCCCCCCCCCCAGGTAGACTTTCTGCTCTGCATTCAACATTTTTTAGAGCTAGAAGGCTGATTTTTCGTATAGCTGCTCCTCTATCCTTTCTTGATGTCCATTGAAAATTTCAAGTTTCTGTGGTTTTTTGTTTCGGAGATATGACCTTGTTTTTCAGGTCATGTCATGACCCAAATGGCCAATTCTCAACATATTGCGTTGGCTATGGGCCTTGTGAGCTTTTGACACCTCGATTTCGGCTTTTTTTGCCAGTCTTACCTCCCACCTATCACGGAGCATGTTGTTCGACGATGTACAGATGTCAAGGTCAGGGTCAAGGTCGACCTAGGTCATCTAAGATAATTGCGTTTTAGGCAAGCAGAATTTACTTTTGTGAAGTTTTTTGACTGCATTTTTGGTAAAAGCTTCTCAGATCATGATTTCATGTAATATGGACACATAAACAATCGGTGCACACATCAGTATACAGGGTGTCCCCAAAAAATGTACCTCATTTGAAATTAAGATATCTCAGTGTCTGAGCATACAATGATCCTAAATTTGGTACCATATGAAAGCTCATTCCATAGAATTTTGTTAGATATAAACTATTTTACTGTACGTTACGTGACAGCCGAGTGATAACGAAAGAGCAAAACCCTTGCCATTTCGCACTTGAATTGCTGCCACAAGTATTTCTAAATTGTGTCTCATGTCAACTGAAGACATCTCAGAAAATACGCACGTGATGATAGCTATAATATATTTTATTAACGCTAATTTCACGGCAATTAATGCTCCACATTTTTCATTTTGCACAATGGGGCAACTGAGCAAGGAGGAAAGGATTCAAGCTGCAAAATCCTACCCCCAAACCGGCTCTGTGGTGCAAACACAGCGGAAACTTAAGGCCCACTTCAAAACAAACAAACAAAAAAGCTCCTCCCAGACGTGTGCAAAAAGTGTGTGAACACCATCAGCCTCCAATGGCTACACCACACACTTCCGAGATCAACGATGGTCTGGCTCAACGAGCACATGGGTAATAGGATCATATCCCAGCGTGCCAACGTTAGCTGGCCGCCACACTCCCCAGACCTATCGCCCCTTGACTTTTATCTGTGGGGGTTCCTCAAGAGTGTGGTATACGCAAAGAATCCTCAAACTCTGGACCAGCTGAGGAACTCGACCTGGACATGCATCCGGAAAATCCCGCTTGAAACATGTGCCCGCGTAGCCCAAGAGTCCTAAAGACGCTCCGCCATGTGTGCCGAGCAAAAGGGAGGGCACTTCGAGCGTTAGCACGGCTGAACCTTTGACTGGGATGTGATGCGATGTGTGCTTGTTATGTTAGCAATGCATGAATGAAACCTAGTTTCAATATTTCTGATTGTTTTCTTCTGAGTTGCTCAAAATATCGGCAAAACAATTGAAAGCTTTTTCCCAGGAAGACCCGTGGAAATAGTTGAAGAGCGAAATTGCAAGGGTGTTGCTCTTCCGTTATCACTCGGCTGTCACGTAACGTACAGTAAAATAGTTTATAGCAAACAAAATGCTATGGAATGAGCTTTCATATGGCACCAAATTTGGGATCATTGTATGCTCAAACACTGAGATATCTTCATTTCAAATGAGGTACATTTTTTTGGGACACCCTGTACACACAGACACACACAGACATACAAACACATATAATTGACCTTGACCTAACTTGACCTGAAATGACCTCAGCAGCAAAAACCTGGTCGGGTAGTGTGACAAAGAGGTTCTAGCTGGCTTGGCACCAGAAAACGGCATCGTCATCGGTATATGATAAGCAGCGCACTTGATATCCAACGGTGACCCAAAACAGCAACATCTCTGAGTTTGACCTGACCTGAAAGGTCAATGACTGACCTGAGAAGGTAAAACTGGGTATCATTGGATTCGTCTCTTCCCAAAGAATCTTTTTGGTCTTTACCGCTAAGCTCTATCTCCAACAAGAACGAAATGGCGCGGGGGGTGGCAACCCCCCCCCCCATGTGCGTTCTAGGATGGGAAAATGGCATGTGCGGGCGAGGGTTAAGGTCACGTGACCTAAGGTCAACTTTTGACCTTGACCTTTCGAGGTCAACATACACATGTTTCGATGCGGATCGACGAGAGGAGCACAATGGTGCTATTAGTTTGTTCCTAGCTGGGATACTTCGAAAGTTATTCATGAAAAAACTTCATATATATGTAGTGCCGCCATTTAGACGTTCTTTTTACCCCTGTGACGTCATCTTTGACCTGACCTGAAAATGACTCGTAATAATGGGAATCCTGACCTGAGGTCAACGCAGGCCGAAAGCCACTTTTTATTATCGCATATGAATGGCAATTGATAAGGCTTTAATCGTCATCAGACAAAATTGCGACTTTCAGTTGGGAAAATATCAAGGTCACTCTTTGAAAAAAGGTAAAGATGTCACGTGATCAAAATTCTCAAAAATCGAAAATCCGAGATAGCCAAAACGTTTGTTGGTTGATTGCGAGTTGAACCATATAAAGTTTTTACCATAGAAAACCAATAGTTTCTGAGTTATAAGCCGCCAAACATAGGGTTGCAGCGTGACCTCCAGGAACTGCCCGAGGCTATATCTCGGAAACCGTTGTTCGAAGAAAAAAATCCTTGCCACAGCTGGGTTCCCCGCCCATCACAACCCATTTGACCAATTTAAAGCTAAAAATAAAATATGCGGGTGTAAATTTCAAGTTTTTTTTGTCGATCTATCGTGGAATGCCCCAGCAGACATGCACGTAACACAGTATGCATTGCATGTGCAGTGCGATGGTAGAAATTCCTGAATGTATTTTAAGCATATCAACGCATATTCATCAACAATCAACACACTAATGAAGCACCTGGGTCTGACCCCCCCTCTCTCTCTCTCTCTCTCTCTCTCTCTCTCTCTCTCTCTCTCTCTCTCTCTCTCTCTCTCTCTCTCTCTCTCCTCGCAGCCCTCTGTTCCACTGTTCGGCCGAGAGCATGACCCGTTTGGGTCACGCGCGTCGCTCACAGTGTGAGATGAAGCCAAAATCTGTCACAAGGAGCCAGACCGTCGACGGGTTTCGACTGACCAGCCAGAGACGCGTAACCGTTCCAAGGACCAGCCGCGCCAAGGGTAAGCTACAACTTGGCATATCTGTAGCTGTATCCGAAGGTTGGGACTTTTCAATTAATACAACTTGGCATATCTGTAGCTGTATCCGAAGGTTGGGACTTTTCAATTAGACAATCACTATTCTTTAGAATTGTGATTTTCTATTGAAAATCCCAACCTGAGCTACCTCTCTAGGGGGGTGTTTAGCGTTTCGGCCGCGATTTTGGTCATTTTGATCCCCGCGAAAACGGATAGTTAGATTTTCTTGCCATTTTCAGCGTTTGGTCCCGTGTGGGGGAGCTACCTGCTGGCAAAGTTACAAAAAATATAATTGACACGTTTTGGGGTAATCGGCACGTGCATTTTCCCATAGGGTTAACATGGGGAAAAATTGAAAATGCGATTTGCGCAAAATCTGTTCAGTAATATTTGTCCACTTTTTTAGGGTCAGTTCTTGGGCTGGCACCCCACCCGTCGGTGGTAACCGTTTAAAATATAATTAGAGAACTTTCGGGTAATTGGCACAGACAGTTACCCCATGTTGAGCCTATGGCGATTTCGAAAAATTATTTTGAAATCGATTTGGCAAAAAATTTCCACGTTAGATTTTGAAAATGCTCCAATATGTTGTGCCCCGGGGTGTCGGCTACCACATGGTATGGGTCAGATATGGGGCGATTGAAAAGCACGTGCCACGTGCAAACGTGTTTGATGGGGTAACCTCCGGGAAAATCCGATATTGGCCAACTGGGGGTCCTATGGCGGGGAAACCACTCCACCTAGCGACACCAAATCAACGCAGCCGGTGAGCAGATGAGTCCAGCTTGTCGCACTAGTGGTCACGTGGCGCACGTGCTATTGCACGTGCCGTGGCATGGGGTCAATTTTTGTGCTTAAATACACCAACGTTGTTAAATGCAAGGAATGGGGGAAATGGCCGTCAGGCCGTCAGTTTTTATGATAGGTATCCGAAGGTTGGGACTTTTCAATTAGACAATCACTATTCTTTAGAATTGTGATTTTCTATTGAAAATCCCAACCTGAGCTACCTCTCTAGGGGGGTGTTTAGCGTTTCGGCCGCGATTTAGGACATTTTGATTCCGAGAAAAACGGCACGGTAGAATTTTTTGCCATTTTCAGCGTTTGGTCCCGTATCGGGGAGCTACCGGCTGGCATCGGTCGCTTGAAATATAATTAACCCGTTTTGGGGTAATCGGCACGTGCATTTTCCCATAGGGTTAACATGGGGGAAAATTGGAAATTCGATTTGCGAAAAATTTCGTCAATTATATTTGCTGATATTTTTAGGATCGGATCTCGGCCTGCCACCTCACCTTTTGATGTTAATTATTTAAAAATCATAGGGTACAATTTCGGGTAATCTTGACGGACAGTTACCCCATGTTGAGCCTATGGCATTATCGAAAAATTATTTTCAAATCGATTTTGCCAAAAATTTCCACGTTAGATTTTGAAAATGTTCCAATATGTTGTGCCCCGGGGTGTCGGCTACCACGTGGTATGGGTCAGATATGGGGCGATTGAAAAGCACGTGCCACGTGCAAACGTGTTTGATGGGGTAACCTCCGGGAAAATCCGACATTGGCCAGCTTGGGGCCCTATGGCTCCGAAACCACTCCACCTAGCGACACCAAATCAACGCAGCCGGTGAGCAGATGAGTCCAGCTTGTTGCACCAGCGGTCACGTGGCGCACGTGCTATTGCACGTGCCGTGGCACGGGGTCAATTTTTGTTCTTAAATGCACCAACATTGTGAAATGCAATGAATGGGGGAAATAGCCGTCAGGTCGTCAGTTTTTATGATAGGGTCGATCTGAAAACGGGTATAGGCACAGAATGAAGGGGGCTAAAAAACTGCTATCTCGGATTTTTTGTAAAATGAAAAATTTAAAATTCTGGGAAAATTATATATTCGAAAGGTGAAATTTCCCTAAATTTTCCCGTTTTTCGAGTTTAGCCGTCCACTGTTCAGAGACGGTGACACCGGCCGGGGTCATTTTTTACATGCTGATGGCCACGTCGATGGGTCATCACGTGGCGTGAACGGTGAAGCAATCAGAGGTCCGGCACGTGCCACGTGGCCACGTGTTTGAGTCGCGTACCTCCCAGATTACCGTGTGTTTGCCGATTTGTGGCCTTATAGCACGAAAACAGCACCAGCCAGGAAGCCTGAAATGGCACAATCGGTGAGGGGACAAGTCCTGCTTGCACTACCGGTGGTCACGTGGCACACGTGCGAAGATGGGCACCTTCGTGGCGGAGATATTTTATAGTGAAATATTCAAATGTACATAACTTTGTCAGTTTAAGTCCGATTGGGCTAGAATTTGGTGGCTGGATGCATTGTTAAGCGGCAGGAACAAGTGCGCCACGTTTGTTGCAGTGCGCCACGTTTGTCTCAAAGCGCCATTTTTGCCGCAAATCGCAGAATGTGCGTATCTTTGTCGAACATGGGACGATTAGGATGCGCTGTGATTGAGGTATGGCTGCCTTAACGGCAGATATGAATGCATCACATTTGCCGCAAGGCGTCATATTTGTCTTAATGCGTCAGTGTTTGCGTTTTGCCCACGGCGGGCGTTTTTTGCGGCGGTGTTTGAGTTTTTCGGGGTTTGCGTTTGACGGCGGGCGGCCGTTTTTGCGTTTTTGGCGGTGTTTGCGTTTGGCGGCGGGCGGCCGTTTTTTGCGGCTTTTTGCGGTTGGCGGCGGGCGGGCGTGCGTTGTGGGCGTTTTTTGCGGCGGTGTTTGCGTTTTTTTGCGGTTTTTGTGTTTGGCGGCACGCGGGCGGGCGATGCGGGTGTTTTTGCTGTTTGCGTTTGGCGGCGGGCGGCCGTTTTAGCGGCGGTTTGCGGCGGGCGGCCGTTTTTTTTGCGGCGTTTTGCGGTTGCCGGCGGCCCGCCGTTATTTGCGGTTAGCGGCGGGCGGCGGGCGGTCGTTTTTTTGCGGCGTTTAGCGGTTTGCGTCGGGCGGCCGTTTTTGCGGCGTTTTGCGGTTCGCGGCTGCGGCCGTTTTTTTTGCGGCGTTTCGCGGTTGGCGGCGGGCGATGCGGGCGTTTTTTTGCGGCGGCGGTTTTGCGTTTTTTGCGGTGTTTGTGTTTTGCGGCGGACGCGCGTTTTTTTTTGCGGCATTTTGTGCGTTTTTTCTGCGGTTTTCGGCGGGCGGGCGATTGTTTTTTGCGAAGTTTGCGTTGGCGTTTTATGCGTGCGTTTTGCGCGTTTTGCGGTGTTTGCGTTTGGCGGCGGGCGGGCGGTTTTTCACGATTAAAGTCCCAACCTTCGGATCCGCAGTGCTGTTCGACAAGCGCTGCCCGGGCCTATCCGAAGGTTGGGACTTTTCAATTAAGAACAATCACTATTCTTTAGAATTGTGATTTTCTATTGAAAATCCCAACCTGAGCTACCTCTCTAGGGGGGTGTTTAGCGTTTCTGCCGCGATTTGGGTCATTTTGATCGCCGCCGAAACGGCTCGGTAGATTTTCTTGCCATTTTCAGCGTTTGGTCCCGTATGGGGGAGCTACCGGCTGGTACCGGTCGCTTGAAATATAATTAACCCGTTTTGGGGTAATCGGCACGTGCATTTTCCCATAGGGTTAACATGGGGAAAAATTAAAAATGCGATTTGCGCAAAATCTGTTCAGTAATATTTGTCCACTTTTTTAGGGTCAGTTCTTGAGCTGGCACCTCACCTTCTGGGGGTAATTATTTAAAAATCATAGGGTACAGTTTCGGGTAATCGTGACGGACAGTTACCCCATGTTGAGCCTATGGCGATTTCGAAAAATTATTTTCAAATCGATTTTGCCAAAAATTTCCACGTTAGATTTTGAAAAAGTTCCAATATGTTGTGCACCGGGGTGTCGGCTACCACGTGGTATGGGTCAGATATGGGGCGATTGAAAAGCACGTGCCACGTGCAAACGTGTTTGATGGGGTAACCTCCGGGAAAATCCGACATTGTCCAACTGGGGGTCCTATGGCGCGGAAACGACTTCATCTAGCGACACCAAATCAATGCAGCCGGTGAGCAGATGAGTCCAGCTTGTCGCACCAGTGGTCACGTGGCGCACGTGCTATTGCACGTGCCGTGGCACGGGGTCAATTTTTGTTCTTAAATACACCAACATTGTGAAATGCAAGGAATGGGGGAAATAGCCGTCAGGCCGTCAGTTTTTATGATAGAGTCGATCTGAAAACGGGTGTAGACACAGAATGAACGGCGCTAAAAAACTGCTATCTCGGATTTTTTGTAAAACGAAAAATTTAAAATTCTAGGGAAATTATATATTCGAAAAGTGAAATTTCCCTAAATTTCCCGTTTTTCGAGTTTAGCCGTCCACTGTTCAGGGACGGTGACACCGGCCGGGGTCATCTTTTATATGCTGATGGCCACGTCCATGGGTCATCACGTGGCGTGAACGGTGAAGCTATCAAAGGTCCGGCACGTGTCACGTGGCCACGTGTTTGAGTCGCGTACCTCCCAGATTATCGTGTGTTTGCCGATTTGTGGCTTTATAGCACCAAAACAGCACAAGCCAGGAACACTGAAATGGTGCAATCAGTGAGGGGACAAGTCCTGCTTGCACCACCGGTGGTCACGTGGCACACGTGCAAATCTGGGCACCTCCGTTGCGAGGATATTTTATAGTGAAATATTCAAATGTACATAACTTTGTAAGTTTAAGTCCGATTGGGCTAGAATTTGGTGGGTGGATGAATTGTTAAGCGACATGAACGAATGCGTCATGTTTGTTGCAGAGCGCCACGTTTGTCTCAAAGCGCCATTTTTGCCGCAAAGCGCAGAATGTGCGTAACTTTGTCGAACATTGGACAATTAGGATGCGCTGTAATTAAGAGATGGCTGCTTAAACGGCAGATATAAATGCACCACATTTGCCGCAGGGCGCCATATTTGTCTTAATGCGTCAGTGTTTGTGTTTTGCCTACGGCGGGCGTTTTTTGCGTCGGTGTTTGCGTTTTTTTCGGTGTTTGCGTTTGACGGCG